TTTAGGAGAGGTAGATCCTGTTTAACGAATCTACTTGAGTTCTTTGAGGAAGCTACAAGTGAAATTGATCACAAAAAGGCCTACGATGTGATCTACTTAGATTTCCAGAAGGCCTTTGATGTTGTCCCCCACAAACAGCTCTTCCTAAAGCTCAAAGCTGCAGGGATTTTAGGAACTGTGGCAGCTTGGAGTAGTTGGAAGCAGCGAGTAGTTATTAGAGGCACAATAGAAGCCTGCGTTCATAGTGGGGTACCACAGGGTTCAATTTTAGGACCACTATTGTTCCTAATTTACATTAATGATATTGACACCAATACATATGTCACAGTAGGCAAGGGAGAGAAGCAGAGATCCATGAGTGCAGGGAATACAGAGCTTTAATGAGTCGGTGTAGTCAGGAATACAGGAAATGTCCACCACGGCACAGAGAGGGCTCACAGGTTCTTCTTCCCCGGTAACCGGAGAGAGAGCGACGGGCAGGGAAGATATCACCGACTCGGTAAGCTGGCAGGTAGGTACAGAAGCAGCGTACCGTAATCGTAGTCTTTGTCCGTGAGCTGAGGTCAATACCAGGGGAAGCCGTCCGACAGAGAGACACAAGACCGGGGAACACAAGGAGGGGCGAACAGGAGAGGCTGGATTCGGCAGAACAGGTGGGTCAGATACGGGAGCTGGACTGAGGAGGGAAGGCAAAAAGGTAAGGTACGCACACAGGTCTAACAGACAAGGCAAGGGAATATGGGTTGATGGAAGACAGAAAGAATGCTCGGTAAGGCTAGGAAACAGCACAATACTTCGCGAGGAAGGTTTGTGGTGACTTCTCTTTTAAAGGTGGCTAATCGTCCTGTGATGTGTTGCACCTGTCTGGCCCTGCCCCTGTGGGCGTGACAGTTCCCCCCCCCCCCTCCCGACGGCGGCCGATGACGTTTGCGGGGGCGCCCCCAAGGATGCGGCGCCGGCTTGTCAGGATGCGTCTGGTGGAATGCAGCCTTCAGGGCTGGGTCCGCCAGGACCATCACCTTCCCAGTCTACGAGATACTGTAACTTTCCTTGACGTCTCCTTGAATCCAGAAGGGCGTGTTTCCGAGAAGAGGGACCCTCTTCGGTCACCGGAGGAGGAGCCTCGTCAGGCAGATCGGAGGTAGGGCGAAACGGGCTGTACTTTACAGGTTTCAGGAGAGATATATGAAAAGTAGGACAGATCCTATAAACTCGAGGCAACTGCAATCTTACCGTTACCGGTCCTACTCTCCGCAGGATACAGAAGGGTCCTATATAGGGAGCAGTGAGCTTACGACATCCCGGGATACGGAGGTTTTTTGTAGATAGCCATACTTGTTGCCCGACTTGGTATGGGAACCCAGAACGCCTATGTTTATCCTCTTGAGCCTTTGTCGGCAGTGCTGGCATGCAGTATTCATTCATTCTGTTGCATGTAGAGGCACAGACGCATTTAGTTGCAAACCAGGATGACATTGTATCGTTTCGTGCCATCTTTTACCAGTGGTATTGTAAATATTACAAATGAAGTTGTTATCATTGAGTTTTGAGTTTCATCATTTGTTTAATTGTTAGTGAAAGGTCAATGATTTTTAGTAGACTAGTTTGGTTGTTTGCTAACTAAGCTGGGTGTGTTCAAAATGGTCAAATCACTTGAGAAAAAGCCATGCTGGTATGACAGGATAGTAGACCATCTCCTACAAAAATAAAGGAGAGGAGAATTTACATGTAAGTAGCTGCTTGTATTGCAATGTAATGTAGAGCAAAACGGTAAAACTGTGTACACATACATCGGAAGTCAACTTAAGGGAGATCTGAGTGCGACTCGAATCCCAAAAATTTAGAGTCACAATTTTCCACTTAGAGTCCAAGTAAAGTCTGAAGTCCCTCATGGTTCCAATATAGCATTACTATTTGTCAAAAATGTATCCGCCTATTTGTTTGTTTTCTATTAGTAACTGATGTGGAATCACTACGTGAACAGTTCAAAAACTGCTTGTCTCATAGTTCCTTAGGCTTATATACATTTTGAAAGTAATTACTTTTGCAAATGACTTTGAAGCAATTTTGTAAGAACAGAAGTACTTTTATAAAACAGATTTTAATATTTAAACACTAGTACTTACTCAAAAATAAGATTAAGTCATCCCTTGAGCAGAACAGGTGAACTTTAATTAGTGTGACTAATTACAAACAGAACCCAAAAGAGGGCCCAAACTTGGCAATTACAATCAACTATATATACAGTATATATATACACACACACACGCACACAGACGTACACACACCAAATGAAACCTTTCCCAACATGATTAACCAACAAGTTGCTTCCTGTGTTTGAGGCAGCCAGACTGAACCATGCCGGACTCTGCCCTCAACTACCTTAAAGTTATGTGATTGGCTAAAAAATGAGCATACTCAAGACTCCGTCATGCTGCTAAAGTAAATGCAAGTAAAACATTAAATCGTTCTTACAGTATGTGCACTAACCGGTGTATGTTCTGAATGAAAATAAAAGTGGTTATTCTATTCAATTCTACACATCGTTCTAAAGCAAAAACTCCAATTAATGGATAAATCGGCACTCAATGCTTTGCATGTGTAGAAGTTTCACCAGAGCTTTAAAGACTCTTATTGTTCATGAGTCGCTATCAAGGAGTTAGAGTCAAGTCCAAGTCAAAAAGTAACAAGCTGAAAGTCAAGTCGGAAGTCAATTTAAGAGCGACTGGAGTGCAACTTGAGTCCGAGTCGCAAACTTGAATCCACATCTCTCCTACTCATTCAAATAAAAGGGAAATTCATAAAAAATAAAGTACCTGATATGTAAATATGAGAAACATAACCAAATAACCACAAAGGATAGTTTTTGACCATTAAAAAAGGAACAGGAACATAAATTGGGAATGGGAGACATATCATGCATTATTATAAAGGTAGGGGCTTACGGAGTTTGATTGCATGGCTTGAAACTAATAGTATTTACACACTTCACTCCAGCTTGCAGAGCAAATGACGGAGTTGACTGGAAAATACATTGCTGTTGTCCCAGCAGCCCCCCTTTGTAGTTTATTCAGTGGAACAGGCCCTCTATTCTCATTTGTATTATAGCTCATGTTCTTAATGACATTCAGAACAGACATTCAAGAGGAAACTTTTATAAACTCCACCCTAACAAACACTTATAAAGTGCCCTCATGCCTCACAGATAACATGACAGTTGAATAGAGCATCTGTCTTTTTTTACCAATTTTAGTATCACATAAATGAGTCAAGTGATCCTCCCTAGGACATAAAGCAAAGATTTACCACAACATGCACCAACACCACAAAATTTAAATACTTATAATTGCAGGTCACTAGCTCTTGGTGGTGTTCATTTAGGGGGTCCCTGGATCTCTGCTCTCTTTGAAAATTGGAAATGATGACAATGGTTTGTTTTCTTGCTGTACATTTCTCAGTCACCAAGCAGAAGAAGAAGAGAAAAGAATGCAGAAATTTCAAGCATGAAGAAAGGAAATGACAGGCAGATGTCCGTATTTGGTAAGATCATATATGGACTGTGGCTTAAAGATATAAAACGGAATTTAATTGCACCTACAAAGTCTGCTGTCGTAATGACAGCAAGTTATTCCCAGGACAGGTCCGTCATCCCCTCAAATCCATCTAATCCTTATACCTCCCACACCCCCCAACCAGTACAATTTCTGGAAATACTGGATCTATCCACTGGAAATGTAAAACCCAATAAATGTGTTTTTACCCAAATGGTATGAGTCCTATTCATGACATGTACATCTAAAACTGCACCTATTTATTTAATGCACAATCCACATATATGAAAATGTCCACATTAATTTGGTGGTTCCCTGTATTTCTTCATATCTTGATTTCTATGTCTAAAAATATAATTTGTATTATTTGTATTTTTATATGTCTTTATATATAATATTTTTATTTGTTTCTCATTTGCACTATGACCAACACTTTCTGCGACAAAACTGAAACAGATACATGGTGTATATACAGAGCCCAGGATGATCCACTGATATTTTTTTTTCATGGCCACAATGTATTATATTATGCACACAAATTAAGTTTAACGTCCCCACGAAATATTAAATAAGCTTGCATGAAAGAATGAGTGGACCCTTAAGCTCGGGATCTCTGCCTGCATGATTTCCCCTACATCCAGCCTCCTTTCTCAGCCTGAGCCTCTTGTCTGCTCACCTCAGTGGTTCATGAACAATCCACTGATAGACTTGGTGAGTGACAGCAATCAAGAGGAGCCTGATAATTCCAACAAACTAAATGAGTCAACCGCCGTTTAAATTGCCCTGCCAGTGCCAACCTCATGGGTTATGGAGCAGGGAAAGGAGAGCAGAGGAAGCCCTGTCCAAGCTGATTCCGCCTGGAACTCCTGGTTCCCCAGAGCCCACACTGATCGCTCCAAAGCCACCTCTCCTGTGAGCCAAGGAATCCTTCTCCCTCGAGGATGCCACTTGGAGTAGAGGCAAAATCCCGCCTTGGTGCCTGAGGCCAGGTCCCACCAATAGCCGATGGAGGAGGAGGCAGAAGGAGCTGGCTGTGCCCATGTCTCCCATCTCATCCGACCCCATGGAGCCAGACCCAGTCTCGTCAGATCTCATACAGCCAGAGCCAGAGCAAGAGCTGCAGTGCCACTCCACGCCGCTTCTCCAGAGCCTGCTGTCTCTCCACAGGGAGAAGACACTCAGTTCGCTGCCTCTCCGCAGCTTGCCTCGGCTCCATGTGCCGGTTCCCCACACCTCTCCTCGGCTTCACCCTCTGGCTCCCCGTAGTTCTCCTCGGCTCCATCTGCCATCTCTGGCCGCAGGAGAAAGAAATGGAGGAAGCTGGTTGTGCCCATGGCAGCCCCTTCGTCTGACGCCGTACCTCCAGAATCCTGCCCAGGGGAGGCTGCTGCACCTCCAGGGTCCTGCCTAGGGGAAACCACTGCCGTCCCTCCATAGCCCAGCCCAGGAATGGCCACTGCCACTCCTCCAGAGCCCGACTCTGCAGAGACCGCTGCTATGCCTGCAGAGCCCGTCTTCACCTCTGCCGTACTTATGGAGCCCACTTTTGACTCTGCTGTGCATCTGGAGCCCGGCCCAAGAGGGGCCGCTGCTCCATACAAGCCTCCAGAATCTGCCTCCCAGCTGCACCCTGCTTGCTTCCAGGTACCCCAGCTGTGCCCTGCTTACCTCCCAATGCCCCATCAGGTACTGCCTCATCTCCTGCCATCCTGTCGGCACCTGCCTTGTCTTCTGCCAACCTTCCAGTGCCGACCTCATCTCTTGCCGTCCTGCCGGCACCTGTCGCTTTTCCACTGCACGAAGTACGGTACTTTCGGTGCGGTACTTTCCGTACTTTCGCTTTTCCATTGACTTCCAGTCGAGTACCAGTACCGAGAGTTCCAGTACTGAAAGTGCCAAACCAGCTGGGGTACTTCTTTGGTACTTCGGTACTTTGGGGTGAGATTTGCAAAAGTATTTGCTGTTGATTGGTTATGCAAATAGCCTGCTGCTGAAACACAAAATACAACCGCCATCTTTTGAAACACACAGCAAACAGCGAGAAACAACATAAAATGCAGTAGAAACAAAAATATAAAAAAGTAAAATGGAATGATGGACAAACGAGGAAACACAGGCTTTAATCGCCATATGGTCGGATGAACAGATCCAGCGGGATTTCGATGGCATGACTCAAAATAAAAAAGTTTTTGCCGTTCCGGGCAATTCAGTTTCCCTATCTTTCCTCTGTCGCGCGCTGATTTGTACATGGTTTCGCTGTTGTTTTCATGTCTTTTTACGAAGCGCTTGTGGTAAACAAGCCATATATTTTAAAACATCACATGCCTTTTCGATGTTTTTTGTTTTTACAGATAATAAATGAAATTATTTAATTCGCAGGATAGATATTTCTTGATGAAAATGGTACAGTATTGCTTATAAGACTATATTATGCGTGACGATCTACTGTATTCACATGTAATAATGTACCTGAGTGATTTTCAGACATTTCACATACCTCTTTGCTTTAATATTAGGGGAAACATTATTTCCTGATAGACAGGAGAAACATATAGGGAAACTGAATTGCCCGGACCACCGTAATACCAAGCCGCTTGGAAGAAATGGGGCACACGCGAAACACCGAACAATGCCGCTTGAAAATCAAAAAACATAATTAAATAATTTGTTTGCTTTCAAAAGACTGAATAGCAGTAAGCTTATTCTTACTGCTTTGATCGGCTTAGCCAAAGTAAGTGTACCTACGTAAACGTAAATGATGGCAGCATTCATGCAATTTGGATATTACTGAATCTTATATAGTACTGTGATAGAAGCTGACATAACATGACATAACAATAAACTGCATTTTCCAGCCTAAACTGTTAGTTTTAATTTTGGGCTGTTTTTTTTCTTAATTATTATTATGATTTAAGCTGCGCTTTGTGACGATGTCAGTCAGGGGTGGTCACTGATGATGTCATTTGGCGCCGGTACCATTTTTTACGCCAGTGGAAAACCGACACAAAAGAAGTCCCATACTTTTGCCACTTTATGGAAGTACCGAAAGTACGGTACCTGGTGCGGTGGAAAAATGCCCTTTGTTATCTGGATGGCCTCCTCACTGCTGCCTGAATCCCTTGGAGGCTGCCACCAGCCCAACACCAGACTCCCTGGCTACTGCTAGGCCAGATGGGATTGATCCGGAGGATGCCCTTTTGGAAGAATTAGAGTGGGACCCTCAGTCTGACGCTTAGGCCGATCCAATCCCAGACCTTGGGCAGCCACCGGTATCGGCCAGGACCCAAGAGAGGGGCTGGCTGAGTCTCCATCTCAAAGAGAGGTGACCTTTTGTCTCCTCAGTTTCCCTTGGCCCTACTGTCTCCATTGGCGCCACCCAGTTCCACTGGTCCTTCAAGGCCCTTCAGTCCTGCAGCCCAGAAGCATCCCACCTCATCTGTGGATGGGCCTAGGAAGGTCCACATCCCAGGGTTGCTGCCCAGCTCCACAGGGTCCGGAAGACTCCCCGGCCGTTCCCCGCTTCCTCTGATCACACCTTAGTGCCTGCCCCGTTCCCCAATCCTGCCTCTGTTCTCCCCTGGCTTGTGTCCCCTGTGACTCGCTCTCATGTTTCCACCCCTGTCTCTGTTGCCCCACTACTTGTCCATCTTGTCCTGGAACATGTTGTGATGGTTGTCCCTCCTGCTGCCCTTCTGGTCCCTGGTTCAACCCCTGCATTTTCTGTGCCTCAAATCTTGCCGTGTGTCCTGTTCAGTGGTTCTGCCCCTCATGTCTTACCCGGTGTCCACTCTGTGGTCAGTTTTACCCCACATTCCCAGTCAGGTCCTGCGTCTTCTGTTTGTTTTCTCGGTACCATTACGGTTTGGTCTCTGTCCCTTATATCCAGTTTCTGACCCTGTCTGGTATATGTCCCATAGATTCTGTGGATCTAGCCATGCCCTGTCCTGTCTTTGGTCCCATCTGTCCTGTCTGGGTCATGATGATATCTCCCATGCCCCAGAGTGCACACTTTGGGGGGAGGGTCCTTGGTCATGACCCATCCTGTCCATTCCCCGATATGACCATCATTGCTGATTCTCTGGAATCCTCCTGTGTTCTTCCCAATTGTGTTCCATTTGTAATCCCTAATCGTAATTTGGTAAACGTCAACACCTACCACATATTCATGCTTCCCAGTCCTGTGTTCCCCAGTCCGGTCATTAACATCAGTCATCCTGTTGCCTGTGCCCATTCCAGAGTTATTCTTCTCATTTTGACTCCTTACAGTCCTGTTTGTTTCTCTGCTCCTGTTTTGGTAATAAAGCCCCTTTTGCTCTGACGCCTGCCCTCAAGAACCTTCATCCCTCACAGTGTGACAGTAATCCCTAAAATGTTTACTTTTATTAGGCTCTCAATTTGCCACTTCAGGTATTCAAATTAATTTTTATTTTAATTTAATTAAATTTATTCGCATCAGGCTGCACAATCAACCCTCCTGAGCCCATATTTTTATAAAAATGCATAATATATCTCACATTCCAAATGTATTCTCCCATAATTATTTTCCTGTATTTTTCCTTCCAAATTTATTCTCTTGTACTTTTCTTTAATGGACAAAAACTAGGCTTCTTGGTCATTAAGTTACTATAAAGTCTGTGGAATGACCACAAAGCATAGTTTTTGTCCATTAAAGAAAAGTACAAAAGAATAAATTTGAAAGAAAAAATAATTTGGCTGTGGCCCCTCCAGGGCTCTGTCTGTTCCATTACTATATCTGTTATAGTTCTCATTGTTATGTCACGGAAAATGTTAGTCATAATGCAATTCAGCATTCAAGTCAAAACATGTTTGTTGGTTTTCACATTTCCAGTTACTCCATCCAGTATTTCTAGAAATTGCAGAGGTTGGTGAGTGTGCAAGGAGTAAAGATTAGATGGGTGGAGTGAGTGATACAGCCATCCATGGAATACAATGCTGTTGTTTCAACAGCTCCCCTTTGTGGTCTATGCGATGGTATTTGCCAGACAAGGAATACATTTGTTCCTTAGGACTGGTCTGCTGCTGCAGATGTTTTGTTGTTGATGTCATCCATCCATTTTCTGAGAGTGCTTGTCCAATTAAGGGTCATGGGGAGTCCAGAGCCCACAGGCACAAGGCAGGGAACAACCCAGGATGGGGCAGCAACCCATTGTGGGGCACACTAGCACCCCATTCACTCATTCATGCAATTAATTAACTCCAGTTAACCTCAGTGTGTTTTTGGACTGTGAGGGGAAACTGGAGTACCCAGAGGAAACCCCATAATGACACAGGGGGAACACACAAACAGGCATGATAGAGACTTGAATTCTGGTCCCAGAGGTATAAGGCAACAGTGCTACCCACAGCACCACCATCCCATCAGTTAAGGCTATAACTCATAAACTGTTTGACCGATCTTTTTCAAACTTTGCAGAGGCATTGCATGGCTGCTGAACTAGAAGTGATTACATTTTAAGACAGATCATTTTCTATGGAGCCCCTCTAGTATCAGAAGAGGAAAAAAGAGCCACGTGTTAATCTGCTCTCAAATACCAGTTCATCACCCAGACAATATGCATGCAAACTTTGAAAAAGATCTGTAAAAGACTTATTGAGTTATTGTGTGCAGTTGCAGAGGAAAAAATCATGTATATTCCCTGACCAGAGATTAAAATTATGCCCTACACTAAGAACAACAAGATATTTTCTTTTTAGCTGAGCATTTCTGCCTATCCATCCTGAGCACAGGGGAAGGATACATCCTGGATGGGATTCCAGTCTAACGCGGGGCGCATGCACACAAAACAATTGAGATTTAGAGACACCAGAAAGCCTAGCTGCACATCTTCAGACTGCAGGGGGAAATCTGTCTCACTTGTGGAGAACATGCTCACACACAGTGAAGATAAGATTCATTCTCCTAACCATGAAAACGTGAACTTCCACTACTGCTCACTGCAGAATATTTTAATGACCATTTATAATTTTTTTTTACTGTTACTTTTCAAGTAATGGTAAGTATTTTTATGATCAAATCCACCTCATATTACTATTCAATCTTGGTTAATGTATAAGGTTTATGGAATCTTTAATGCTTTATTTTTTCAATGGCATTTTCTAAATATACTGTAGGACAAAGAGACCATGTGTCTCGGTATCTTGGCTTTGATCTTTGATTTTGACTATACTGTTTTTCTTACCATAGGCCCCAGCTGACAATGAAGAGGTGAGGTCTGTTTGCATTGACTTCTCAGCACATTTCCGCTTTTGCAGAGGACCAGAGACTTCACGGCAAACTGGAGAACTTAGAACAGGTTCTAAAGGTAGGCCTTTCTGTGACATTTAGAGAGTTGGAGTGCAGGTGGATGCAAATATACTTAATACTTTTTCCTTTCATTTGGCAGCATATGCGAGAGGTTGCTGAGCGTAGGCAACAGTTGGAATTTGAACATGATCAGGCCCTGGCAGTCCTCACATTCAAACAGGATGAGGTCAAACGACTGCAGAGAGTGAGTGTCTAGAATTTAGCACCTTAATAACTGTGAATATCCAAGTTATATCAGTAATACTCTAACTAATCAAATTTTGAGACAGATCATACCAACATTAAGCAATGAGACTTAGTGGAAGTAAACTGAAGGGTGAAAGCAGACGACTTTTAAAATGAGAATGACTACCTCAAAAAAATTATGGATCAAGATCTACACCTGATTTCATTTTGAGACAAATTGCCCTAAAAATGAAGTAGCAGCACTGTGTTGCAGCAAAGGAAGGAAATGGAGGCTGTAAAAGACACTTGATTATGTGAATACAGTAACTCTGTTGGGTCTTTTTCAAGCTTTGAAGACACATTCTATGGGGGAAGATCTGGAAGTGGTCAAATTTTGAGAAAGATCCCCCAAAACTATAAAGCAATGCCCCATATTGATAGCAAAGTATCATTTCAGACATTTGATCAAGTTAAAATAAAAAAAATATTGGTCTGATCTCTTACAAATATTGCACACATTTTATGGGTGAAGATCTGGACATTTTCAAATTTTGAGATAAATTGCACCATAACTGAAGCTTAGAGACAGCAAAGAGAAGGATGATATTAGAGGCTTATCCTTGTGAATTGGATAAATATATTTATTATTATTTACTGTATTTACTTTATTTACTGTATTTGACTGTTGATGGATCTTATTACCACTTCACAAAAACATTATATGGATGAGAACCATCCATCCATCCATCCATGTCCGAGGTCGGGTCGCGGGGGCAGCAGTCTCAGCAGGGAGACCCAGACTTCCCTCTCCCCGGCCACTTCATCCAGCTCCTCTGGGGGAATCCCGAGGTGTTCCCAGGCCAGCCGAGAGACATAGTCATTCCAGCGTGTCCTGGGTCTTCCCCAGGGCCTCCTCCCAGTGGGACATGCCCGGAACACCTCACCAGGGAGGCATCCAGGAGGCCTGATCTCTAAGGCCTCGTTCACACGGACGTCTGTACCAGGCATTTTTCTGGTGTTCGTGGCGCCAGGTGAGCGCCGACCATGTTTCTGCTCATTGGAGCAAATCAAAGCGTCCACACGGGCGTTCAGCACCGACATTCGGCTGGCTACGTATTCAGGTGGCGTCAAATAAACGCTGCATGCAACGTTTTCTTGGCGTCAAAATCCCGACGAACGCGAGGAAAACGACGCTGTTGCGCTTACATGGCGTTCAGTTGCCGTTCTGGAGGACCGAATATGTCCCATGATTCTGTACGGCAACTGCGAGAAACCACATTTTACGGAAAATGTGATACTTGTAATATCGGTATTGTACCAGCAGTGAATTAATCAGCTGCTGGTACAATACCGATATTACGAGTAACCCAACCGATGGATCAACTGGTGCCAATATTTTCGCTTAAAATAGCAATTTAAAAAGCTCAGTAGGAAACTGGAAATCTGGACATCTACAGTATAAAGAAAAACTCATTTAACTGATGCGCCCTATCTGCTTTCTCTTTTCAACTGGCTTTACTCATAGGGTTCAACTGTAGTTAATACGAAGTTACAAAAGCTGTAGAAATATTTCATCATAAAACCATGAGATATAAATAATTATGGTGTTACAGCAATTACGGTCGTAATTATCATTAAGCCTTTCAACCCCGATCAGGATAAGCAGTGGGGAGATTGATGGATGTGTGGATGTAAATAAAATTTACATAAATCAGAGCTAGATAAGATTTTAACAACTCTGAGCTATTAGTTAAGTTCTCCCCAAGCGAGCTCGATGGGCCGAATGGCCTCCTCTCGTTTGTATAGTTCTTATGTTCTTATGTTCTAAATGCATCTTGGACCTCTAGCTTAAAAATTAGTTTACACACTGCAGCTGATCCCCCCCAAATTTAAGCAATTAATATATAAACCCCGCTTCTCTCCAATGCCTCAACAATTACGGATGGATTCGAGAGTACAGCATAACTTTGGCTACTTATTACCGGTGCGACATACTCAGAAAACGGCGACTGAAACACACACACTGAACCTGAAACAAAATCACAAAAAAACTGAAAATGAAAGACGCAAATTATGCACATTTGAAAGTAATTTTTAAATATAAAACTAGAACTTTACAATGTGATTTCGTAATCTTTTTTTAATTTCGAAATATACATTAGAAACCTTAAGAGTAATTACTGCCCCCACAGGTAAATACACGAAACTAAAGATTGGGCGTCAGGCTGGTGTTAAACAGCGTCAAGCGAACGCCAGTGAAACGCCAATCGAACGCAGCTACAAAACGCAGGAAAAACGCGTATAGCGATCAGAGGGCGTTCGTTTCGAACGTCCGTGTGGATGAGGCCTAAGGGAGAGCCCAGCCACTCTGCGGAGAAAACTCATTTCGGCCGCTTGTACTCCCGTCCTCGTTCTTTCGGTCACTATCCACAGCTCATGACCATAGGTGAGGGTAGGAACGTACTGTAGATCGACTGGTAAATTGAGAGCTTTGCCTTTTGGCTCAGCTCCTTCTTTACCATGACAGACCGATGCAGCGCCCGCATCACTGTGGACGCCGCACTGATCCGCCTGTCGATCTCCCATTCCATTGTCCCCCTACTCGTGAACAAGACCCCGAGGTACTTAAACTCCTCCACTTGGGGGAGGACCCCATCCCCGACCCGGAGAGAGCATTCCACCCTTTTCCGGCTGAGGACTATGGTCTCGAATTTGGAGGTGCTGATTCTCATCCCAGCCGCTTCACACTCGGCTGCGAACTGTCCCAGTGAGAGCTGAAGGTCACGGTCCGATGAGGCCAACAGAACCACATCATCTGCAAAAAGCAGAGACCTAATCCTGAGGTCACCAAACCGGACACCCTCTACGCCCTGGCTGCGCCTAGAAATTCTGTCCATAAAAACTATGAAAAGAATCGGTGACAAAGGGCAGCCCTGACAGAGTCCAACCCTCACCGGAAACAAATCCGACTTATTGCCGCCCATGAGGACCAAGCTCTGGCACCGGTCATACAGGGACCGAACAGCCCTTAAAAGGAAGCCCGGCACCCCATACTCCCGGAGCACCCCCCACAGGACTCCCCTAGGGACACGGTCGAATGCCTTCTCCAAGTCCACAAAACACAAACTCCCATGAATCCTCCAGAACCCTGCGGAGAGTGTAGAGCTGGTCCACTGTTCCACGGCCAGGGCGAAAACCACACTGCTCCTCCTGAATCGACAATCCGGCGGACCCTCCTCTCCAGAACCCCCGAATAGACCTTACAGGGAGGCTGAGGAGTGTGATCCCATAGTTGGAGCACACCTTCTGGTCCCCCTTCTTAAAGAGGGGGACCACCACCCCGGTCTGCCAGGCCAGAGGCACTGCCCCCGATGTCCACGCGATGCTGCAGATGCATGTCAACCAGGACAGCCCCACAGCATCCAGAGCCTTAAGGAACTCCAGGTGGATCTCATCCACCCCCGGGGGCCCGGTCACTGAGGAGTTTTTTAACCACCTCAGCAACCTCCACCCCAGAGATAGGGGAGTCCACACCCAAGTCCCCAGATGGTGGACCAGAATCGCCTCGAAGCCGTCCGGAAGTCGTTTTCCATGGCCTTGCCAAACTCCTCCCATACACGAGTTTTTGCCTCAGCGACTGCCGAAGCCGCACCCCGCTTGGCCTGCCGGTACCTGTCAGCTGCCTCTGGAGTCCCACAGGCTAAAAAGGCCCGATAGGACTCCTTCTTCAGCTTGACGGCATCCCTCACCACTGGTGTCCACCAGCGGGTTTGGGGATTGCCGCTGCGACAGGCACTGACCACCTTACAGCCACAGCTCCGGTCAGAACATGGCCCATTCGGACTCAATGTCCCCCACCTCCCCCAGGACATGGGAGAAGTTCTGCCGGAGGTAGGAGTTGAAACTCCTCCTGACAGGGGATTCCGCCAGACGTTCCCA